TGAAGGCGGAGGCCATCTGTACAAAGCGGCCCCTCCCAAAGGCACAAAACAGCACACAGAAAGAGTCCTCTTGTCCAACTTATCTAAACTTACATTCCGGGAGAAATCATTAATCTTGTAAATCCTTTTTTATTCCTAGAGTAATCAAGACTAAGTTCTGTAAACAGTAATATATTTGATATAAGAGTATCAATATCTTTACATTTTTGTAAAATCAACTTCTTATTTACTGTTGTCAGGACAAAGCCTTGAATTTCTCAATACTAAATTTCAGAAAAGACAATCTGGATAATACCCTCTCTTCACAATTCTTTTTATTGATTTTTTTTTTTACATCTGTTTACTGATAACCAACAATATTTTTCTTTATATCTATGGAATGCCATAAGATATAATACCTCTGGCATAATTAAGGGAACATGAGGCAAAATATACACATATATAATAGTTGACATTTATATGTAGGCAATGTACTCTTACTTTCACATATAGAAAAATAATCACTTTTACCATTCACAAAATACTTTCAAGAATCACAAATCTTTCTTTCAATGAAGTTTTGAAAAAAAAAAAAAAAAAAAAAAAAAAAAAAAAAAAAAAAAAAAAAAAAATACTAATAATTCTCTGATAGAATACGGTGCCTAATCCAATGGTAACGTTATTCTCTACATTTAATGAGGCAAAAAAAATGTGTCTACATTAAACATAAATATTCTTAAAACTTAATGCTTTACTCTCCACCAAGTTTGCTTTTATATGTGTGGGGGTGAGAAGTTGGGTGTGAGTAAGGGGGGTGCAAGTCAATGTGTAAAAATATCCCATTTGTCTAAACAATTCAGAGTTACCTCTGCATAAGATGAGAGAATGGTAACAAACAATTAGTAAAAATATTTTGTAGGCTTCTTTAACCTGCTTATAAATATTTAGACACAAAAGTAACAACAAAAATACATCAACAATTATCTATATTAGATAATCCAGTACATTAAATGATAAATGTTGCTTGCAGTCAGCTGAAACAGGCAAGTAATTCTATTAGAAAATTTAAAAACTTTTACAATATTACATGTTTTTCTTCTACACCTGTTCCCATAAGCACATGTTTTTTTGCTTCTAAACACACATGCACATTTCCTGTATCATAGTTCACTACCATATCTAACTGCACAACTGCAATTAATAAAAATTAGAAATGCCATTTGTCCCTGGATGGAGGATAATACCTAAATAATATAATTTGTCATTAGCAAGATTTTGATTTTACAAAAATATATCATACAATCAAATCAAAATATCAAACTATGATCCACATCAGTAATTTGGTAATTATCTGAATTACATATAAATCTATCATTTCTTTTATATTTATATACTGATCATAAAAAAAAAAAAAAACTGAAAACAAATCAGTAGTATATATAATCTTTTCCACTTTCAGATCCTTATTTAGTCTACTATAATTGTGACAGTTTTTCACATCAGTACGGAAATTGATACGTATGCATTCTAAAACTTTTCACTACAGGACGGCATATCTACAAATGTGTGCTTCAAGAGCATTTTCCAGAAATAAAGTTTCAATAAATAAATTGCCAAAGATTAAACTGCATTAAAGTTTGCAAAATCATTCTCATGCTAATAGTTAATCATTACTGAATTGAAGAATAAAGGTTATTTTTATCTCATTTAAAATGGAGCAAAGTTATCTATCATTCATGAAACAAGAAACATTATCATATTTTAAAAAAAAAAAAAAAAAAAAAAAAAAAAAAAAAAAAAAAAAAAAAAAAAAAAGGGGGGGGGGGGGATATTCTCATTCCTAATGTCAGTGTGGTAACCTTACTGATTTTAAACAAAATTGTTATTCATTATCATAAATTAACAAAAACAATTAACAAAACATATTAAGCCATTCTTGCTTCATGACCACTGGAAGAACATATTTTTTGCAGTGAAAATCTTCATGTTTAGAATATCTAAACAGATAAACGTTTTTCTTGGAGATCACTTGACCTCTTAGGAGGAACAGGATTCACTTAGACATCGACACAGGAAGCAAAACACTTCTTGGCAGCATCACGAGCATATGGGATGTACGATAGGGAATACCAGGTCATAGCTAAGAATGGGCAGTATCTCCACCATCACCATCAACAGTGCCAAAGCTTTCTTGTGGACCTGTGGAAAAGAAAATCAAATTAGAATTGAAAAATTACCCTCTAATAATTTTATGAGTTTTTAGTTTTGAGTATAGATTGAACCTATGGGACTAGAGACTCATCAATGAAGTTTTCCTTTAAAACAAAAAAATAATTTTGTGATAGTCATAAAAACTTTGTCAAAATGATCATAAGAGCAGAATTACATAATGTATGATTCAAATTTCCTTAATAAACATGAACTGATCTTATACTAAGCTTGAACTTTACTAATATCTGTCCTTATCCTAGATATGCATGTTTTTCCTACGTGGTACATGCTGACCAACAGAGTGTCAGGAAACACAAATCACATTTTTCTGTTTTAGTTCCTTTGACTTTAGAAAATACAAATTCAGTAACATTACTATACAGCAAAGATATCATTTAACATTTACTATATCTCACAAGAATTTTTTGAGAAGCATAAAAAAAAAAGAAAAAAAGTGTCATACCACAAATGCAGCAATCAAAGTCATGATGAGGGCAACAAACATGATGATGGTGGCGATGATCCTGGTTTTGGCAAACATCTTCTTACACTGATTTACTGGTCCCATCAGGAAGCATGTACTGAAAAGGAGTAACTATGTAACCAATGGAGCACCTTTTTTTGTGCTTAATAATGTGTTACATAATACATCCTTTTATCAATATTGCAAGCAAAACAAAATCTAAAAATATAGAACTCTACTTTCTGAAATACATTTATATGCACTGTCCATGGTGCAATCTGTCCTATGAATTACATAATCATTATCTCTAGAAGGGAGAAACCGACATACGAAAAGTGCAAACTAAATCCCTTCAACTTATATTACAATCTTCTTAGCTCACCTTGAAAGTGCCATGACGTTGCCCAGGGTGTAAAATATTGCAAACAAGATAGTTCCCTTGGGCAAGAAGAACAGCGCAGAGCCAAGGAGAGAAAACAAGAAACCAAGGATAAAGCAAATTGCAAACCCTTTAACCCGTGTGCTCCAACTGAGGCTGTTTGAGTCAATTACCTGTGGAGGAAAAATATGGCAGTTAGAAACCTTTGTACTATAATATGTTACAGGAAATCATGATGGAACAGTTCAGTAGTGAGGGAAACTATGTAATAAGGCTAAACACTGGGATTTAAAATAAAAGGACTATTATAATAAGCAACTAACTCATGAATAACAATGGTAACAGGAATTACAAAAATAACACACACACACTAAATGAAGACTAAAAGGAGTAAAAGACAAAGTGATGTAAATGACCTTTTCTCCTGTTGTTGGAACAGCATCTTGAAGGAGGGGGGGAGCCTGTTACACTTTAGTCCTTGGGGATTACCTGGGCGGTCATGAAACCTTGGCCAGTTTGCCTGTGTTCATATTAAGAATATGATATGAAGCCATGTCTCTATGGTCTATCATATTACCATTGGGTAAATAATTACTAAATAATCTGTTTATTTTTGTCTTAGCCTAAATTATGCCCTAGAAAATGGTAAATGGAACATCTGGTGTTTGGGAATCATGGATGTGCAAGAGGTTTGAGAAAGAAGTTGTGAGTGTAAAAAGGTTGGTAACTACTGCTTTAGCTTCATAGGTGGATTATATTTGTTTCATTCTTCTATGGGGTTCTTTCTCTAACTTACCAAACAAGTAGTATCCCAACTGAACTGTTTGCTTTTGTACCTACACCCTATTTAAAGCTCATCCTGGGTAGCAGACTTTTCATGGATGAAACTAAGTGTCCAATCGAATTTCCCTTTCTGAATAGACAAGATGCTAGTATCTTCTACATGGACACACCTTTCATTTAAAGTCTGAATTAAATAGTGGATAGTCATTCTTTTTAGCTACTACATACCATCCAATATGGATGGTATTCACTCCACCTGGTGTTGGCATTTCATACTGGTAATGAAAGGGTGGGTCTTCAAATCCCCCTCATACTGGTCTATTATAAGGATCATAGCTCTATCACTCAAACTTATATGCCAAGTACATTTTTTTAAAGGTAAATGCCAGCTCTGGATCTATATTTCCCAATATTCCTTTCTGATTAAGCCCCACAGCTTAGGCACTTGAAGCTAAGGTACTATTCAGTCGTAGTAGTAGTAGTAGTAATTTCAATAATGATAACACAATAATAAATACCAACAAAAACAACCCTTCAAATCATGAAATAGGTGTGTGTGTGTTTCAATTATCTTGAGAACTGGCCCATTGTATGTTGCTCAGGAAGCAACAAAGTGTTGTGTAAGATGTGAATTTGGCTGCATGAGTAGTTCTTGACAATATAAAAAGAAGCAAGAAATTTAGATAATTGATAGCTACCCATTCTAGCAAAGCTGAGAGGAATAGATAAGAAGAGACATGCATACTAAGGGTTACCAAATTTACTCATATCCAAGAAAATCTGTGTGTGGGAGTGGGAGTGCGTGTGTGTGCGCATGTACAGACGTGTGTGTGTGTCACATGCTTGTGTGTGGGTGCAATTCACTGAGATGCAATACTGCATGTCTCTGACTGTGTGTTTGTCCTTCAATTGTCCCCAGAAGCAGACACTGTATGAAGTCAGCCTTTATGAGTATGATCATACAATTACAACTACATAATGGAAAGTATATCTATATCAAAAATAAAAATAAAATCAATAAACCAACAAAATAATGCATCTAATCATTCTAATTAACATGGTTATAAAAGTTGTTAGTGCAACACCTGTGAATCATGGAATTTCTTTTCTACTTTATAATGTTATGACCACAAAGACAAATTCAGTATCAAATTTACAACAATTTGTGATCAAAAGAACATAGTTGGAAAACTAAACTAATTGCATTAATTGCAAAGAAAAAATATTTTGGGCCTCTGTCAGGTCCACATGTCTGAAAATAAAAGCAACATCTTGAGTAGCCATTAGAAGTATATGTAATAAGAAATCAACTTTGTGCAGAAAGATAACTATAGACAATTTTCTTTCTCTCACTAAAATAACCCCTTCACACAAAAACACAGACATTATACACACTGACAAAGATGCAGATACACACCCACGCACACGCATGCACAATCACACACACACACATGCATAATCACACATGCACACATACACACACACATGCACGGATGCATACACACACATGCACGGATGCATACACACACATGCACGGATGCATACACACACATGCACATGCACACACACATGCACTGATGTACACACACATGCACTGATGCACACACACATGCACTGATGCACACACACATGCACTGATGCATACCCAAATGCACTGATGCACACATACATGCACTGATGCACACACACACACACACACACACACACACACACACACACACACACACACACACACACACACACACACACACACACACACACAAAATTAGACTCAAAGCTGAAAAACATGGATGAATGTTCCTAACAGTCACCTGGGCTAGAGAATAAACATGGCTGGAGTCATGTGCAGACATGTAAAGTTACCATTTGCAATGTGGCAAAGGGTCTTATATTTCAAGCATGGATTAACTTCCACCTGCTCTTGAGTTGCCAAGTGTTGTATATTCATACAAGACTTTTACATCATGCACTTCATGTACCTGAGATAATATTGTGTTTGAAAGATCTCTGAACAATCATTAAGAGGATCCTACTAAATCTAATTTATCCACTAACCTTATCAACTTCTTACATTTTACTATTACTTATATACATACCGATTTGTCCACCAATATAATTATCATTTCTTTACACTTCACTATTATTTATATTCATATCCACATAATTTGCTTAGAACTAGGTGTGTGCTAATCCTTCATAAAATACTAATACTATGTATAGCTAACAAATACACCAAAGCTCAAAATAAGGAAACAAACCAACAAACATCACATTACTAACACATCACAGAAACTTGACATCCACAAGTAGATTTATTTGTACATTTCCATGGAACAAAGCAACACAAAATTATACTGGAATATTCAATATGCAGATGATGGAAAATGACGATGAACAGGAAGTTATATCCTACTGATTAAATATTCACTAATTCATTCTTTACTGCATATTAAGCATGACAAGTATACATAATAAACAAACAAGAGACATACCTTCACTAGGTCTGTTTTAGTAAATATTCCTTTGAAATGAAACAATGGTAACCTCTGCATAGCTCAAATTACAGCCCATGGTACTCAGTTACAGACCATTAGATGGTGTATTGCACTGAGCAGTACCTATATAACATGGAAAAAATTGGCTGACCATTTTCTTAAAAAGTCTGTATGTCTAGAGATTAGTTTGAAGACCAGGAAAAAAATTATGTTAAATACGTTCTTACATTTTCTATGGTAATGCTCTATTTGCTGCTGAGTTGCAGTAATTACTGGATGCAAGATTGGGAATATAATATATGTCACCCTATCTGCCTGCATACTTGCCCCTCCCCCACCCCTCTCTCTGTCTCTCCCCCTTATTCAAAGTCCTTCATTTTCCCTATCTACTTCCCCCTTTTCTATTTCTCTATCCCTCTCCCTCTTACTTGCTGTTACTCTTACTCTGTTACTTTATTCTCTAACTAACTGCATCTATACCAATCCCACATTCTTCCTCACCACCATCTTTCATCTCTCCATCCTCTTACAATATCTGTCATGCTCCTGTATGGCCTCAATTTCTTTCAACAGACTTTCCTCTTACTCTGCCTTTCCCACTCTCCTTTGCTTCTCTTCCTTCTTTCCTTCTTTTACTCTTTTGCTCACCCTGCACCTCCTTATGTCTTTTTCCTTTAATCTCTTTTTTATACCAAAGTATTTTTTTCCCTACCAAAGTAGACTTTCTACATATTTATACAATAGCCCTTGAAAACCCCAAATAACTATTCATAAAAAGTTAAATGAATCAAGAAGGTATAAATGTGTAATGAGGAGAAAAAGTCAGTTATAGTAACAAGTACATAGACATGCAGAAAGTAATATGCATGGATTTGGAGGTGGCATGCATTTCTTTATATATCATTCCAGGAAAAATCTGCCAGGGAAATTAGCAGACATTTGCTCATGCAATGGTAATTAAGAATAAAAAGAAAAATAGAAAGCAAGGTAATTAAGAATATTAAGAAAAATAGAAAGGACTACAATATTAAGTAAACATTAGAGACCCAACGAAGGAATGAAAAACAAGAAAGAGTGAAAAAAAATGTTACAAGAGGCCCAAGAGACTTACACGCAAGAGTGGCGTGTCCTCCGTCTATGGGAAGAAAGGGATGAAGATTAGTTGTTGGCGAGAGGTTCAACCTGTGGCG